CTCGGCGAACCAGCGCGTGGCTTGTTGAACGACAGGTCTCGGGCGAGGAGCCGCAGCCGAGTGTGTATGTATAGGTGAGAAGCACCAGCTGTTCCCTTATGGCCGTGGGCCGAGACGAGGCAGGGGCAATTTTGGCAACGCGTTTTAAGGGCAATGACTGGGGGCCCTCTTTTTCGAAAGGAAGTATTTTGGCTCTACGCGAAAAAAAGAGGATGGGGGGGGGGGGGGGGGGGGGGGGCTTAAAGTTAGCGCCTTTGGCCATAGTAAAGTGCAGGCTAGGTGGGCGCCGCAAAAGGAGACGCTCCGGCCCTGGAGGTGAAATATTATGTACGAAAAAACGTTGTTCTGACAGTTGCCGCTGCAGTCTCTTCGTATAAAACCATTTTCCCCCGTTTATGTGAGTGCGTACCTGGAGTTATAAACGGGCTAATCATACGTTTCTAAACATTGAGATGTGAACACTTGGAGCAATACGAAGGAAGCTTTGTCGATGGTTTCGAGGTTGAAAAGAAGAAACGTACGAATTCACGCGAACGCAGGCGGAGAAGACGCTTATTATAGTTACCGATTAACTCTCCGTATGTAGATCCATAACTTCAGCTTCTTATTTCGAGTCTTTGCTGTCGCATCTTTAATCCTTAAACACTTGGGTACACAGTGGTCGGTATGGGTGCCCGGACACCGAGGCAAACGAGACGCTTTCGCGCGGTGGCTCCTGGATGACCCTTCAGTGTCCATTGTATCTGACACCGTTTTTGTAACTGAATCCCAATTTCGTGGATATTCTTTACTTCAGGAGTCCATAAAAATTACGTTACCTGTTTAACAATACGGTCGCCTAACTTCTCCTTGGGATATTTATTGGTGCCTCGCTCGCAAATTCGAAGTCTGCTTCACAACATTTCACTGCCGAATTCCACGTCTTAATATTTATTTATACACGTCTGGTCAGGTGCCATCTCCGCTCTGCTTTTACTGTCAAAAGCCTTAAACATCGATCATTTTTTACTTACATGTCGACGTTTCGCCAGCCATAGAAAAAAAACATCTAGAAATATTCTTTAAAAAATTAGGCATTACTCCTAATTCTTAAAACATTTTTTTCTCGGGGCTTCTTCTCTGGGCCGCAGAAATAGGACCGTCTGAATAGCAGTCTGCGAATCCCTTAGAGACACGAGAAGATTTTCTAGTTTGTTTATCCCTAATCGAAGTCTAGTTCTTTGAAATTCAGCTAATAATTTGTAATGCTGCTCTCCGTCTACTTTAATCGTACGTGACTTCAGGATTGCCAAATTTTATATTCCCTAGATATCTCTTTTATTCATTTTCTTTAATCACATTTGAAATTACTTGATATAATAACCACCAGTTTAATGTCCAATCCCCCCTACTGGGTACGAGCCAAACATGGGCACAAGCAAGCAAGCAAGCAAGCAAGACACTCGCCATCACCGATATTGAGCGCGCGGAGAGCCTATAGTTTTATGCATGTGCGTTCCATCAGCAGCCGTGACAGCACTTTTTCTCTTTAAAAGGATGTTTTAAGATGTCTGATATGTACGTCGTCATCAACAAAACATACAAGTGCGCTTGTTTCGAATTTCGTGAGAGCTTTGGACGTCAACATTTGACCAATATATGACCAATGGAGGATCAATATAAAAGGGGCCGCCCACTTTGGCATGCTGAAAAAAACTGTGTGTAATGTCATTCTCTAGCACTGATTACGTGGCAGTTTTGATACAAAGCTCTCATGATGTGTGAGTTTTGTTTGTATGATCTTCATTATACAGCTGTATAATTTTCATTACACAGCTTCCAAATATAATACATCTTGATACATAAATTTGTTACTGAGCGAATTAGCTCAGTAGTTGTTGATGGTCAATACATTCTTCATGCATCGTATGCCACATTAGTTTTGGATTGGCTTCACATGCGATTCATTAAATTTTCGGTGTAGTAAGCGTTCGGGGGCGGGGCCGTAAGCAGAATTTTTTTTTCTCGTGAGGGAAGGGGGAGCACCTTTTTTATTTCGAGAGGGAACCTCCTTGAAATGTTCATTTTTCACTCTGTCATTGCGAAAAAAATTCGACGGGTGGGGGGGGGGGGGGAGGGGAAGGCACGGTTTGCTGTGCCACTCCCTGGCAACGCTATCATTCGGGGACACGATACTGGGCCCTGTAGTAAATGTTTCAAGTTGGGCTTGTAGAAAAACTGAGCGAATGTATAACTAGCACGAAGATCTGGACACACAAAACAGAAGTGATAAACTACAGCGCCGCAGTTTGAACCATCTTTCTGTTTCAGCAGTATTACGAATCAAACGGTCCCAATGCGCAAGTTGTGTTTTAGTGCGATTTTATGTAGCCTCATTCTGGTTCTTCTTTAACTCAACAAGCACCATTCCATCCACTCCACTATGACCAGTTTTATCCTATCATGCAATGAAAACTACGGAAACAGAGGCGTAGTGAATGGTTTCGTGTGATCAATCAAATGATCATCACTATAATGATGGAGAATCACGTCCTCTATAATTTTTCCTCTCTCTCGTTTCTTCTATTATTATTTTTTGTAAAAGAGGATTCATGTTTATCACATTTCTCGTGATTTTTTTTCTTTTTGCTTATCCCCGTCTTAGTTTGGTGTCTATATCTGCCGCAGCAATTTGCAAGCCAAGATCCAATTCATGTCCAGAGAGACAGAGAAAGAGGATTTATTTCCAGACTGTTGTTTATTGCTACTGCTCCCTCCTTAATTCTCCTATCCTCTTTCGATGCCAACGCTTCCGAAACACAATCACTGTCAATGGGTCTTGCTGCGCAGGCACATTGGCATCCGTTAAGACGGGCTGAGTCAACAGCTTATATTTTCCTCCAGCAGACACGTGCTTCATCCCCCGTTCCAAATATTTGATCCAATATGTCTTTGTTTACAAGCTGTCAGTCCTGGCCTAATATAGTTACGCAGCATCACAACACTTTTTTTATATAAGTCCGACATGACCCTTATATAAACGTAAGCCCATCCCGACGCCCTCAGGGCACTACATAAATTCGCTCGTAAAAATTGCCCCATGCCTTTTTATTCGCACCCACTCATTTCACTCCTATCTACCAGCCAAATTGTCCATTAAGAATATGCTTGAAGCTGGTATCCAGTCGCATACTTTTTTATGCTACTCTTATTGGATTTTCATTCCTGTTCTCTCGAACGTCTAATCCCATTATTAAGCGAGCAAACAAGTGAACGAGGCACGAGGACCGCTGGCACCATGCACAACAGAGAACAAGCTCATGGCTAGCTCTATGGATTTCTTACGCAAGTTTGTTCATAAGAGCATGGAATGAACAGCAGCAAGGCGTGCCCTTTATCTCACATCCAAAGAGCCAAATCTCGAGAGACGCATGTGCCTAGCGTTACTCGTTAGTCAGGCTAACGATTAACAAGATTCGCGCATGTCCCAGCTTGCGCCCACTGGCAGTAAAGCTTCCGATGATGATTGGGTTTCCGAGTCACTTTGTCAAACGGCAATTTACGATCACTCAAGAAGCCTCATAATATACGAGCTTTTTAAGCCCGCCGTGGTCTGTACAATGCGAACAAAAATAAAAAGCAGCTACGTGCTGCGATGAGTTCACTGCGCGTTGCCTGGCAACCAGTTGCGCAGCATATGCGCCTGCATGCGAAGCTCGGATTTCGGAAGATAGCAATAGCGTGCAGATCTCGCTCCTGCGCTAATTGAAACAGGTTTATACAAGGAACTGTGGCTAAGCTCATTGTCACCATGTCACGTGGTGACAGCAGTGCTGAATCCACACCGCCTATACAGACAAAAATTTTATTCACTTATAAATGGTCAATATATATATATATATATTCGTTGGTCGTGGTTCATGGGCAGTGAGCGACTGTATGTGGTGACACTCAGACTGTCCTCACCACAAGCTTGGTGCCATGGTTCCCTCGCCATCATGCATTTTCCGCGACTCGGGCTCTTATCGCGCTAAAGGGAATCTGTCACACAGAAGGTGCAGAAAACAGTTTCAGTGGCTCGCATAGGCGTCGCCAGGGAGGACTCAAAAATGGCTCTCGCACCTCCCAAGCCACAATAACACTTGCCCTCCACCCATGCCTCACCGGCACTCCCCCACATATTCCACCAGGATGCAGTATACTGGTACCTGCAGACTCCCACGGTAGCACGTGCACCGTCCCGATCACGGCTCTTATCTCTGCGCAAAAATCTTATTTCCGTGGTTCGCTGCGAGCTAGAACATGTAGGGGCGCATACGCAGGGCCAGGCGCAACGGACGTTACAAACAAATCGAACACCTGCCATCGCTCCAAGATGCCGTTATCGTTTTCGCGGCTTGTCTATTGGAGTACCAAACCACTCTATGGGACACGTAAATGCGCCTTTTGACAAGCGCTAGTTCCCTGTAGCACGCACGGCAAGTAAATAATCTTAAAAGAGCGACGCAGTACACGACTGTATACCTTAATCGTAAGAGTTCTTAATTTGGCTGTTCCATAGGTATGTTCCTTCTGAGTTTAGTTACTAAACATTAATCGACGCCAGTTTTCTAAATTTGTCATTACATTAATGTCTGTTGTGGGTACTTTAACACGTATAACTCTATTTCGATCAGTTCTTAGTAAGCATGTTCTAGAGAAGTTCTGTCTTCTAGTTCTCCAAAGATATACGGTGAGCTTATCCCACTGTGGGATGAAAGCGTTCTTCGCGCCAAGACTGCGAGCGGCATTGAAGCGTCGCTCGGTCGCAACTCTGCAATGGGACGCGTTCCCGGACAGCCGCCAAAGCCCAGGACGGAAGGAAGGAAGCCGCCGGCACCGAGGCGCGGCGACGACGTCGGAACCACAAAACGTGGTCCGAAGAGACGGTACAGCACGCGTTGTTCGACGGCGCGGCCGTCGCATGCAGCGAAGAGCCACTTCCGGCCACCGCCGGTGTCGAGGAAGCGAGAGGGGCTCACCGAGGCCGTTGGCCAGGGCCCAGAAGACGGAGACGAGACCGGCGCTCCACATGGCCGCACACGGCGCGGGCTTCTGACACGCACGGGTGCGCCTGGCCGCCGCCGCACCGGCCGCGCCACTGCTGCCACGACGTGTGCTGGGTCCTCTCTGGCCGACACCGCGGCTTGTTTGCCCGACGCCCGCCGCAGCACTCTCCACCCTCCTCTTCGGCGGTGCCTGTACCGTCGCGCACTCCGACGGGAAGCGAAGCCAAGTTTGGGACTCGAAGAAAAACACCCCCAAACTCCGGAGTCTGGCGATGGATTCGATATCTCCGGCCTTCTGTGCAAGCTCCCTCTGCACAGAGAGACGTCCACGGGTATACGCTACGAGTGGAGAAGGAAGAAACGCGCTAACGAGGCTACCGGAGTCGAGTTGGAGGCGGGGCGAGTCAGACGGAAAGGAGGAAAGAGTAGAGTGCCGAATTTCGCAAGTAGCGTGTAGGGCGTCGTATTTTCTATAGTTTTGCTTCAGCTAGATGGAAGGCGTGAATATCAACGGATGCATGACGACGTGTCTCGGCCAAGAACTTGCGGGTATACATTACGAGCTTTAGGAAATAGTCTCGTCGGAGCACAATGTTGTTTTTGTTTTATTTCAATACTTTATTTTTTGCACGGAAGATCCCGAGTGGACCATTGGCTCGACGCGTCTGACGCTTAGGCGGAAAGGGTATGTATGTATCGAGTGAGGAGAAGATGACAAGGCTGGAATCGTGCGCAGTCGAGCGTCTGTCGATTATGATGTCCACGTTCGTTCGTCTTTCTTCATTTAGCACGATGCGCATGACAAACCAGCTTCTGGCTTGTCCTGCGCAGATTCGTCTTGTTTTGGACGCAGCTGCGTCCCCTATCTATACTTTATCATAAGAATGGTGTATTTTTGTTTTCTTTTTTCCTTTTTTCCCCTTCCGTCAAGTTGACTTACGCAACACGCCATAGGGTTTGTACACAGAATTCTTGGTTTCATACCAAGAATTCTTCGACCAATAATGAGAACCAAATCGTGATATAGAATGGCCGCATTCTTGGTATGATAATAGAATGCGTTGCTGGGTAAAATGGTGCATTGTCTGAAAATAGAAGTATATAGAGCGCGACCAGACGGGACAAAAGAGACAAGTAGACGAAACAGGCCCTCACTTCCAACTGGTATTATTATGAGAGAAATGTGGGAAATATAGAGATCGTACGTCACAAACGCGGCTGTGCACGCATCGCAATGCTACTAATCCCAAAATTTAATGCATATTGCGACAAAGCAAATAAAGTTCACACTCCCGCAAACACACTGACGTCTGGCTGACGCTATCTGCGTCCTTCTTTTTCGTGTATAACGCCTCCAACAGTTCTTGCTATCACGAACAAGAATTCGGGTATTTAATATAACGGAACGCGTCAGTCCGTTTGGTTTGGTTTGGAAAAACTTTATTGACAAGTCCGAAGGCGTGCGCCCTAGCACACGGCGGGCCGCTCCCACGATGGGACAGTAAGGCCGAGCCCTAGCGCCGCATCGTGGGCCCTCTGGACAGCCCAAAGTTGCGATGTTATGTCTGGACTCCGGAGAGCGGAGTCCCACTTTCTGGACGATGCTGTATCGGTGCCACGTACCGAAGGGCACTCCCAGAGCATGTGGTGTAAGGTGGCTAAACCGCCACATTTTGTACACGAGTTGGTTAAATAAACATCAGGATAAAGCTTGTGAAGAAAGGCAGGGTTAGGGTACGTTTCTGTTTGAAGTAATCGCAATGTAAGCGCCTGCGCTCTATTTAGCTTCGCATGTGGAGGTGGAAAGATTCTCCTATCCATAGCGAAATGTTGGGTTATTTCATTATATGTAGTTGGCGGATCCCTGTTTACGAAATCTCCAGTTCGACCCAAAGGTCCTCCATGGCCGCGGACAGCTAACCCTCGCGCCCTGGAGTGGGCCAACTCATTGAGATTTATGATCCCTCCGTCCATGTTTCCCATATGAGCTGGGAACCATGTAATGGTATGGGTTGTAAGCAACTTATCACCGAGTATATTTTTGGCCTCTTTGCACACAGCTCCAACACTGAAGGCACGAATGGCAGCTCTAGAATCGCTAAATATGTGTTCATTACGCTGATCTAAAGAGCCAAGGCGATGGCAACCTGCTCAGCTGCATTGGCAGTTCTGGCGCATACCGACGCCGCATTAATTGTAATGCCTTTGTGGTTGATTGCCACTACCGTGAATCGGTCTCTCTGGCCATCATATTGCGCCGCGTCTACGAAACAGGCCCCCCCGTCAAGATCCGCAACTTGGCGAAGAAGGGCCCGAGCGCGCGCTCTCCTCCTTCCAACATTACGTTGGGGATGCATGTTCCGCGGGGCAGGCGAGACAATGATGTTTTCCTTCTGATCCCTCGTCAACCCTTGGTACAGAGCCTCAATCTGAGCTGGTGGAATACCCATTTCTGCGAGAATCATCCTCCCCGCTTTTGAGCCAGACAGCCTAATTACCTGTGTTCTTTCTTGTGCTTCCGCAATTTCCTCCAATGTATTATGAATTCCCAACTGCAGGAGACGATTGGTGTGGGTGTAGTTGGGGAGCCCAAGGGCATTCTTTACAGCTCTCCTGATCATTGCATTAAGCTTGTCCCTTTCCATTCTCTTCCAGACATGCATTGCCGCCACATATGCAAAATGACACAGCAGAAAAGCATGTATAAGCCTGACCAAGTTGTCCTCTGATAGTCCTGTCCTTCGGTTAGCCACCCGTCTTATGAGCCTAATAACACTGTCTGTCTTTTTTTCCAACCTTTTAATCGTGATGGTGTTGGTGCCCGTTGTTTCTAGCGTCATACCTAAGATCCGAATGGAAGCGACTTTGGGGATTGATCGTCCGCTTTTGGTACGTAAGTGGATGTCATTTTCTAGGGGCGGCACCCAGCCTCGCGGTCGACGGCCCCTCCTGACCGGTTTATAGAGGAGAAGCTCAGACTTTTCCGGAGAGCAAGAAAGGCCTGTGTCTTCCAGAAAACTCTCGGTAGTGTCGATGGCCTCTTGCAGGGCCGCCTCTACAGTGCCATCACTTCCTCCTCTACACCAAATGGTGATATCATCGGCATAAATTGTATGACCAACATCTGAAATTCCAGAAAGCTGCCTCGAGAGACCAGCCATGACGATGTTAAAAAGTAAGGGTGATAGAACAGATCCCTGCGGGGTGCCCCTATTTCCCAGCGCTTGCACATCCGATTCTAGATCTCCAACTTTAAGTATGGCTTTTCGACCACACAGGAAGGATCTGACAAACGCATGAAATGAGGAACCTAGGTTGAGACTTGAGATCGCATCTAAAATAGAATCATGGCGGACATTATCAAACGCTTTTTTTATATCCAAGCCTAGGATCGCCCTGGTGTCTCTGGTATGATTATCTAAAATTTGACACTTAATGATTTTCATAGCATCCTGCGTACAGAGGCCTGGCCTAAAGCCAATAAGGTAGTGAGGGAAGAGATCATTGTGCTCTATGTAGTCCGCGATTCGGTTCTGGACAACGTGTTCCACCACCTTTCCCACGCATGACGTGAGAGAGATGGGGCGCAGATTGTCCAAACTTGGTGCTTTACCGGGCTTGGGAATGAGGATCACCTTGGCCAACTTCCATTGTTCCGGGATGTCACCTCCCTTCCAAATCCTATTAATCTCATCAGTAAGAAATTCAACAGAGTCATCTTCCAAATTCCGAAGCGCTTTGTTGGTGACCCTATCTGGACCCGGTGCCGATCGGCCATTAAGTTCGTGCAGGGCACGTCGCACATCGCTGATGGTGAAGGGTTCATCCAAATGGGCACAAGGTGTTCCCATATACCCCGGATAGGCTTGCATGGAATCAACTGCTAGCGGTAGATACTTCTCAGCAAGCTGCCCCAATAGCTCCGCGCCCGAGGAGGATTTTTGAGCAAGATGAAGTATTCTAGCAAGGACCCCCCTCTGATTAGATTTAGTGCCCGACTCGTCAAGCAAGTGTTTTAAAAGATTCCATTTACCTCTGGTTCGCATTTGTCCATCGACTGAATTACAAATTTCATCCCACTGCTGCCTCGACAAGTTTTTGCAATGTTCTTCAATTTGTGTATTTAACTCTGCTATCTTTTTCCGAAGCCTACGATTAAGTCTCTGACCCTTCCATCTGGCCAATAGCGACTGCTTTGCCTCCAGTAAATGCGCAAGCCGACTGTCCATTTTGTTTGTCTGTACCTCTGTCTCAATGGTTCTGGTAACCGCTCTAACGTCCTGCAGCAGCATCTCTGTCCATTGCCCCAGAGAGTCCGGGATTTCCCCCTGTTCCGCTCGAGCGCTGCGTGACTCCCGAAATTTATCCCAATCCACGTAAGTAAACTTTCTTTTAGATTTTGCCTCCATCTGTAATTTAGTAACTGTAATATAATGATCACTTCCTAAATCCGTCAGAAGATTTTCCCAACCTACCGAGCCAGCATTTTTCACGAAAGCTAGGTCCGGGGTGGAGTCCCTGGTGGTGGATGTGCCGCGCCTAGTAGGAAACATCGGGTCCGTAATTAACGAGAGATCCGCATCTCCCGTCTCCTGCCACAAGCTCCTGCCTTTAGCTGAATCATACGGGTAGTTCCACGCCCGGAAAGGCGAGTTAAAATCCCCCGCCACAACCAGAGGAGAGAGCCCAGCCAATCTGGTTGCCTTAGCTATGATCGTCCTAAAACGCTGCCTATGATCACTAGGGCTACTATATATGTTCAGTATAAAAATGCTGGAAAGGTTGGAAGAACTCGGAATGACCTCAACTAAGGAGAGCTCCGTTTTATTAGGTCTTACCCCTAGATCATGTGTCACAAAGGTGAACTTGTTGCTGACTAACGTGGCAATCCCTCTGCCTTCCCCTTTAACTGCATGTGCCTTGTACCCCGGGAGGGTTACACTATCAGACAGCGTCTCCTGCAGTAGGATCACTTGCGGCTTCTCGCTGTGAGAGCGGACAAATTGCTGCAGGGTGCCCCTTTTGCTAAGGATCCCCCTGCAGTTCCATTGCCATATACGAAATTCAGCGTGCGAGGCCATCTTGATCATTGGAGGTGCTCCCTGACCCTGCCGTCAGGTTCTGTACAGAAGCAACTGTACTATTCGAACTGGGGATACTCATGGGAATGGGCGCCGATAAAGGCGTTCCCTCTGGAAAGAAATCCGGGTGAATCCGAGCTGCTCCCCTGATATTGGGGCTCTGCACCATAAGGCCGGCGTTCTGTAATTGATTCTCCACACATTGAATTCTGGTATGTTGAATATCTATTTTCTGATCCATAACTGTGAGACGTTGATCGACCGCCGAGAAACGCTCATTAAGTTTGTGAATCTCAAGGCAAATTGAATTTAGAGTCTCCTTAATTTCAGATTTAGCTCTAGCCTGCACATTCTCGGCTGAAGTCGCAGCCTTACGCTTGGCTGGGTTACCCGAGGGGCCCGCTTCCACGACCATGGGAACCTCCATGGGTTGAGGAGAGGGAGAACCTTCACACGGAGAAGCAGATGCCAGAGTAGCTTGAGATGTACTGACACGTCTAAGCTCAGCCATTTCGGCTCTCAGCGACTCAATAATGCTGCGCATTTCGGCATTCTCCTTCCTAAGCTGATTTAGCTCCGCTAGACCATGCTCTGGCGCAGTGCCTCCCGTTACCTTTTCACCTCCTCCGCCGCGCACCCGGTCAGCCCAGGAGCCACCCTGCATCTCCGGTTGGGGTGGGCTTTGGAAACGGACTGTGCCATGCGGGTCCCTGGACTGGCTCCTCGAGTGCGATGGGCCTCTGGATTGGGACCGACGACGATCTCTGGACCGGGACTTGGCTCGGCCTTTAGACGAAGTTCCCTTTCGCTGGCCTTGGGAGCGACTTCTGGACCGAGATCTGGATCTGGACCGACTGCTTGCCTGTTGCGATGAGTCACGGCTGTCCACCCCAGTTGCAGCAGAACGACTGTTTGAACTGGAGTTGCGGTGTGCAGGCTGGCTCACACCCTCGTCGGCGTTAGCAGGTACCGTTTGCTGACTACGACGCTCTGATTCCGCACGGCGCTCTCTTCGCCGCCTTCGCACAATAAATGGAAGCTGAAACCTTTGCTGGCAACTTTTATCCGTCGTGGCGTGTGGGCCGCCACAGAATCCACAGGTCGGGGAACATTGATGGTTCTCATCAGGGTTGTTGATTCCGCACCTCTTGCACACAGCTTCGTCCGGTGTCGGACAGACGTCCGCCCTGTGCCCGAGTCTGCCACAGGCATAGCAGCAGTCATGCTGCCGATGGTAAAGCGAGCATCTGACCAGCGCTGTGCCGAAATAAATGAAGTTGGGAACTTTGTAGCCATCGAAGACAATAACCACCGTCTCAGTGTTCTTAATACGTCTGACTCCCAGAGCCGTGGGGTTTCTTTCAGTAAGGATGCTCCTCTCCAGCTCCGTCTGGCTCTCCGATGCGTCAATCTTACGGATGACCCCCTTGCAGGTCTCATGCGGGGCAGCCTCGTAAGTGTTGATGTCATACTTCTTCATTCCCAATGTAAGGCAGCTCATCCTGAGGTAAGAGTCAGCGTTCGCACGGGACGCCGTGCTAATAACTATGATATTTTGCGTTGCATTCGGGCAGACAATGTCCTGACTGATGAGCGTGGGTACAATTCCAGCCGCCTCTGCGATTGCCCGGCCAAGTCTAGCTGAGCCCGCCTTCTCGACATCCAAGCCACCCCTTGGACGGACGATAATCTTCCAGTGCTCGCTAGGCAGTCGAGGCATTCTCGATGATTTGATAACTTGATTCTTCAAGTGTAGAGCTTTTCTTGTAGCACTGAAATTGCCCCTGGCATTCTCGCCGCAAGCCGTGGCACGCTCTGTAGCACTGGCGTTCGTGCGCCTCGAGCTTTTCTTCACCGCGGCGGAACGCCAGCCGTGTTCCTCTCCAAACTCTTCCGGAGGGAGTTCATCACCGTCCATAATAACAGCAGCACCGTCCAGCATATTGGCTCAGCAGGTGGAACGAAGGGCGCGTCCAAGGAAGGGCGCGTCCTGCCCGGCAGACGCCAACTCGGCGTTTGGTAAGCACGCGAGGCGTGGTCGGTGGCGTAAAAGTCCGAAAAATGCTCAAAAATGAACCTACCGGTGAAAGTCCGCTACCGACGTGAACCTTGGCAGCTTATGAGTCGACTCGTAGCAAGATCTTGAGGCACAGCACACGAAAAACCACAAAAATCATTTGCTGAAGCGGGAGCCCAAAGACCCCGGACTGCTCCGTTCTGCGCCACCTGGCGTCTCTCCGCGTCAGTCCGTTCCGCGTTGAATAAAACCATGTCGAATGATAGCAGTACACGAGTATTTAAAACTGCTGGCGGCGAGTGAACAAAAAATATATTCGCCTTTCTCATTACGCAGTAAAGCAGCTGCGCCAATTAACCAACCATTAGCCACGCATAGCCAACCAACCCTGACAATGTACGAAGGAATCAAAGGATATCAGTTACAATAATAAAGGGCGCCAAAACATCAAAGCCAACCTTGCGGTTAGTCGCGCGAAAAGTTTGCACTAATACGAATGTGCCTCCCGCCGGATAGATGAATGCGTCTTGTTATCTCAGACGGGCTGCTGCTGAGCGTATATACGGTGTATCATCGGAGCGGGACGCGCTTTATCTCCTTTGGGGAAGAGGGAGGGCGTTCTTCGATGTCACGCCCGTTGTCAGTGACTGTGGCGGGAGTCGCACAGCTCGACGTCTCGCATTTCATCTCGCCCACGACTGCCGACATTCTGCGCAGCCCTGCAGAACGTTGGAGGCGTCGTGCCACTGTCGAATCGCTGCTGAGAGGCCTCTCACGAGCGTTTCGCGCACTAGTTGCTCTATCATGAGTGTGAGATGATAGTTCGGGCAAGAAGGACCATTAGTATCATTCCATACGCTTATGCGAGGCCCTCTAAAACCAAGTGTGGGCCGTCCAGCGGGCCAGGGCCGTCGCCGAGGACCTCGGAAGATGTTCCTCGAACGATGTGTCCCTGGCAGCCTAGGCCCGGGCACAGCAACAACCATTGGACAAATAAAGTTTATTCAACTCGGCGCTTATGCCATATGACTCCAGGTTCTTCCGTATTTAGAGCTCCCGCCGAGCTTTAAGTGTTGACTAGTCCATGAATGCTGTCAACTACCTCGCCCTTGTAAACTGTGCTGGGCGTTTCATGACACGGACGGCACGCAGCATAAATAGAAATGACAAGCCTACAGTGAGCTCAATAACTAAAGGGCACTTTCGTTCTCGTACAGGGGTGCATGGTCAGAAGTTTCCAGATCAAGCTGACTTTAGATTACATGGAATAGCGGGCTGGGAGCTTTTGGCCATACCTATGCTGCACAAATCTATAGCGATTATATCATACAGGCGGTAATCGGTTGTATAAACTGGTCATCACGTAAAGAAAAACAATTTGGCAAAGATAATGTAGTTTCGAAATTTGTTCGCCAGGAAATTGCGAGCTACCGACTCAAAAGGAAAAAAAGAAAAACAACACAGCGTCTATATGCTCATGAGATGAGCAAGGCTTGCACTGGATTTGGTGCTGCACAAATCTACAGTGATTATATCATACACCCGGTAATCGGTTGTATAAACTGGTCATCACGTAAATAAAAACAATTTGGCGAAGATAATGTTGTTTCGGAATTTGTTCGCCAGGGAACTGTGAGCTACCGACTCAAAAGGGAAAAAAGAAAAACAACACAGCATCTATATGGTCATCAGATGAGTAAGGCTTGGACTAGATTTGCCCAATAGAATGGCGCTTCTAAGCAATCAAAGCACTCAAAGGGAGGTTAACCAGGAATGAGCTTTTTAGGCTGCCCTTCATTGGGAAAGGGGGAGGGAAAGTTACATAGAAGGGGAGAAATGCCCCCCTCCCAAAAAATATTCCTTAATTCGACGCCTTACAGAAGGGGCTCGGGGATTCATCCAACTGTTCCGAACGTCAATGAACTGGCCCATAACCGTGCGCGAGAAATCACGAGCCGCGGCGGTAAGGGCGGGTCCGGAGGCGGGTTGCTAGTAAGCTTCAGGGATTGATCCACTTGGAACTTTTCACGAAGCTACCTCTCACTACCAACTGTGAAGGCCGAGGTACCCTCTCCCGCATTCTAAGCCCACTAGACCACAGTCATCGGCTTTTCGGATGCTGCAGGTGTTGCGTTGTCGAGGGGCTGGAGGAAGACCGACAGACGTCAAGACATGGTGGCAGTGGTGGAATTTTTCTAATGGCTTCAGTTTTCTCTAGGTCAGCAACGATGCCCGCTTCATTCAAGATGTGTCTGAGAAACTTGACGCTTCTTTTGCTGGATTCACACTTACCTGGATATAAAGCCATTCCTGCGTCCTTGAGGTTCTGAAGCACTGCTGTGAGGGTTGCGTTGTGCGCCGCCTGTTTCTTCCCGAAAACGACGACGTCGTCCTGGTATTGGCTGGAAAGGAGCGTTATGCTACTTAACCGGGAGCTCTACGGCGGCGCTGCACATACTAAACTCTGAGTGGAGGGTCATGAAATCTTCCAGTGGAGGGTCACCGCCCTCGTTTTCGGTGTTCACTGTCGAACTAAAGTAGAATAACTCGTATGGCACGTTCACACTTGAGAGTTGAAAAAAAAACGAAAACGCCAGAGCGGCCGGAAAACCACGTCCGCGTGCGTTATTGTTGTTCACATTCAATCTGCCCCATCCCGCGGCCGCTGCTGTCGCTACACCTTGACAATTAATTCGATTTTGCCTGCTTTCTGAGAACTAAAGTTCGTATTCTAGTTATTGACACAAAGTAGTGGAAAGAAACAACTTGCACCTTTTCAAACGTTGTTTCGGGAAATACGCCACTAGAAGCCACACTAGCGAACGCATCGGCATTGACGGCGCGGTTTCAACCGGCTGCACACAAAAGCGAGACATGTTCGGGCATGCCGACTCGCTGCCGCTGCACCATCTACTTCCTGAGTTATCGACTATTGTAATTCAAATCAGGCTCTCGATGAACGTGTTTTCGTCGAGGCCATCAAGCTTCGTCGTGCTGCACGGGTAGTTTGTGGTTTGAGCCGATGCGAGCCACCGCCGACGTCAGTGCCACCATGCTGAATCTGCGGCCAGCTGGTTATGTCACGTGGTTTGACCTAGCGCAGCCAAGGCTGTGAAGCGGAAAGCAGATTTGGTTTCGCGTGGCGGGAAAATTGCGCTCGGACCGATTTTTGCGCGCCAGCCGCGCGGCGTGGTTTTCCGGCCGCTTGGGCGGCGAAACGAGCCAGTCTCCGGAGAGTTTCGCCGTTTTCGCTCTCTTCGAGGCCAAGTGTGAACGCGCCAGTAGGACCCTACTGCGTTCGCCTAAGACGATTGGAAGGCGAAAATCATCTTATTATTTTTCTTCTGAGCCGATTCACTGGTCCTCCTCCACCCCCTCCATAAGCTTTAGTCTCCTAACGTGATTTTGCATTGCATCCGAGACCTAAGGCTTTGCCAGCCTTCTGCACGTCACCTGGTTTCGCCCTCCCTCAGTGATCGGCCCACTTTGACCAGGTGGCGACTTCATGTGATGACGTCATGGTGACGTCACAAACTTTAGTGATCTGTGACGTCTCGATGGCGTCGCACGGTCACGTCATGACAGTGATGGTTTTTCATCACTCGTACCGACGCCGACGCCTCGGGACGCAACAGGTGAATTTTCGCGTTTGATGAGGCGTCTAAGGAATTCACGAGCTGTTCTCTGCTTATGCTCTGTTGATGTCCCGTGGTTCTACAGAGTAGCTAGCGAACAAGGACCGTCATAGTAACCAGGGCACTATATGCAAGCTGAATACCTATTATTCTCAGACTTTTTTTTTTCTCGAGCGTGATACTTATAGATCGAGGTAAACACAGGCTGAAGATCTCTATGTGTGCGTGTACCGAAAATACGACCTCGGGACCAGTCGTCGCTCACCCGCAACCATCTTTCCTCCTTGATGAGCTCCTCCGGGACAGATTCGCCGGCGGAGATGGACTATCGGTGCTATTTGCACGGCACAGCCGCGACAATGACAAACGACCGTCACACCTGCTCCGGTGTACTGGGAACGTCAGCCTTCGCTGCTGTATGAAGGAACCCGCTGTCGTGTATACTTCGAGAGCGAGTTTCTAAGAAAGCGCGTTTCTGCAATGCTTAAATTCCTTGCTCGCGAGATCGCGTGGGCAACCTTTGGCGCATGAAGACGATTTTCATCCAGGCCACCGGTGAGAGGCTGTGTATACAAGAATAGACCGAATAATTTTCTTTCTTGGTTTTGCGTTGTACGAAAAGTTCAGAATAACAATCCTACATTGTAAAATAAGATAAACGGAGGCTATCCCACGCTGGATGACTGTACACTATAGCGGAGACGCGCAACTGATCGCCCTACTACGAATTGGCGAAATAGCGACTTGACAGTGATCGGCGGCGTTTTACCCGAGTACTGTTTTACTGTGCATGTTGGTGGGACACAACGATGTTCAACCACGAGTGAACAAAAATACAGCCTCATTTTTTACTAAAGCAATCGCGCGAGCGCGTGGTAAATAGCATCGTGCCGCACATGTGGCACGGCGCAGCGGCGAAATGGGGAAAAATAGCGAGATAGTTTGTCTTCTACTGCCTACACTATAGCATCACGAATGTGTTCATCTCTATTTCGCGCTTTCTTTTTGATATCCATACTTCGCTGGGACGTTTCAGCGAACAACGTTTTCGATAAGAACTGTCATTACCACAGCTTCAGACTGCTGTTCTCGCAACAACTTAACGTGCTAAAAAATAGCGGGAAAAAACTGAAACAAAGGGTGCAGGAAATAGAAGTAATGGCACCGCTCTCTCCCTTTAGCGTCACAATTCACCGCTGCGCTGCGTCAAATGCACAGTTCGAGGTGATTCACCACGCAGTCGCGAGTTTTCTCTCGTATAAAAATGACGGCTGCACTGCCAATAATCTGACTTAGCTACTAGAAATCCGGTCTAGGGTTCAACTCACCTTTACTGGTTAAATTGCACCTTTTCTTCACTTATCTTACGTCTACTAGTTTGTCTGTACCTCTGCAATACAAACAGCAATAATGAGCATCTAATGACACCCGTTGTACATACATCAATGCGCTCTAAAGATCATGCACGCTCTGCTAACAGGCGAGGCGCCCATTCATGTGCTAAAATTTGTTTGCTCAGCTATCTTTATTTTTTGTTCCTTTTCTTTCTCCTGCTCCGCATGATGTAACGAGCCCAGATGTACCGCAAAGGCGGTTTCATAACCGCCTTTGCGGAGAACTTGAATGTATGACATTCATGTTATCTTTTGTATGTGTATGTATTTGCTTTATGACCAATAAACTTAGTCGATAGTCAGCGCTCATGACGTCATATATTCGCTTTCTCGGTGCTCCTTTAACTGTATTTACGCGATTCGGTGCTTGCCGCAGCTCACCTCCGCTACGCTAGTATACGTGTCATCTGCCACGTGTGGACGGATTCATACCGAGTGTGCCTCGTAATTGCAGTAACTTCATCGTAAATATTGTCGAAAAATCTGCAGCGTGAGAATAACTACTTGGCATGGTTACCTTCATTTAGCGCTCCAACATCCCATGAAGTAGCTGGCGAATCTTTGTAGTTTTTTTTTTTTCACTTTTTCTTTCCCTCTCTTTCTCTTTATTATACGACAAGTATGACCGGCCAAAAAAATTTGTCAGTGGAACTGCTACCTGAGGCGTGTGTGACGTCACGCACGCAACGATTGTTTGTCACATAAAATTTTGAAAGTCATTCTATAAGTACGTCAGATTCAGAGTAATTACTTCGCTGTAACACCTTAGTAGTTCACCGCCATTCAAGAGTGGCTCCGAAAAAGTGCTGCAGGTGCTGCGCGACCCCACGGGCGCAAGAGAACCGGCCTAAATATAGCAATTCGATATGGCGCTCACGATCTTGCATGCACGACCAGCAGACCTTTAGGATGATGGGGCACGACGAAACATTATGTCGTGGCACGCGAACATCCCTCGGAAACGATCTGGTGACAAACTAAATTTTAGGATCTACGAAAGCTTATACCACTTTAATCGGAATTACTGACAGTGCGGCGTGCGATGTTTGCGGCACCGACGAAAATATCGAGCACCTGCTGTGTCATTGTCCTCGATTTGCCTCAGATAGACAAGTACTTGCCAACGCAATGCGGCGCCTGAATGATCGGCCACTTTCTGTGCAGGTGCTATTACAGCAACGTCCACATGCCTCGACAGCCCACAAGGCAGTGAAAGCCCTGCTGTGTTTCCTGAGAAAGACAGGCTTGTGTGAACGCCTCTGACATGCGGTAGAGTTCTACACGCTGCAGTGAAATTACTGTTAGTCTCTCCCCCACCCCCTTTTTTCCCTCTCTTCCCTCTTTCTCGTCTTTCTTGTCCCCTTCCTTAATCCCCCAGTGCAGGGTAGCCAACCAGATGTCTTTCTGGTTAACCTCCCTGCCTTCTCCCTTTTTGTTGCTTCCTCCTTCCTCCTTACGAGAGTCACACTAATTCAACTTATTGACGCACACTAGCTGCTAAGTGTTTTTTTTTTCTTTCACTGCCCTGGAAGGTGAGTGTTGTAACATTGCCTTACAGTCATCTATAGCGAAATGTTACTCGATCTAATGCACCGAAGATTAAATGTCCTAAACACTCTCAAGAGAATAAAAAATACTATGTGTCGCTATATTCGATAAGTCCTGATCTACGACGTATAAGTCTCTCTTTAAGAATATACCACAACTTTCTTTTGGGTTCCAGAGCCCTTCAACAACAGTATAATGATCTTAAAAAGCCCCGCCGCGGTGGTCTAGTGCCTAAGGTCCTCGGATGCTGACCCGCAGGTCACGGGATCGAATCTCGGCTGCGGAGGCTGCATTTCCGATGGAGGCTGAAATGTTGTAGGCCCATGTGCTCAGATTTGGGTGCACGTTTTAGACCCCCAGGTGATCGAAATTTCCGGAGCCCTCCACTATGGCGTCTCTCATAATCAAATGGTGGTTTTGGGACCTCACAACTCAATCAAGTATAATGATCTTAAAAAGTGAACTTGTCCAGACCTACGTCGGGACAGGGAAGACCCAGCATATAATCGTGTAATGTGGTCCTAAAAGACAGACTTAGAATACGCAAACACCTTTGATTTCTCCCTTTGCGCATGTGTCGTACGCTAACCACTATTTGAATTAGCATACCGGGCGCCTTTGTTGTTGTTGTTTTTGTTTCGAATATAGTCTGCGTACCCGAAGGTGCATCGCGTTGGTTTCGTGAATACTCGGGTGTGTTTCTCGTGCACTACAGCTTACGGAGTACTAAACCTACTCCAAAATGAGCAGTGTTGAATAGGGTACGCAGGGCTTCGTGTTTGAGTTTGCAGTGTTAAGTTTGGCCTGGAAATTCATCTGGGCAGACGCCATGGTGCGTAAGCCGGTCCACTGGAGAGGCTCTGAATCCCTTCGGCTCCCAGTCTGCCAGACGCTGTCGAAAGTTTGAGTAATTACCCAGACCATGTGACAAGCGAGGGCGAGTTCCTTACTTTCAACTGCGGACCCTTTTGTCATCTCTTCGAGCAGAAGCGGTGACTGATGCCCTCGGTGATTCATCTGGCGACGGGGAAGCTTTTGCGACCGGCGCCAGAGCTGACAGGAGAGCGACGCTCCTTTTAATCCCCAATCAAGTAGACGACCGGCCGGCTGCCTGTGCCCGCCAGGCATTGTCCCTGCTAGCCGGAGGATGAGACGTCGTGTCGCCACGACGCCACGACGAGGGAGCACAACAAAGACAGCATCTTCCTGGAAGAGACCGCGGCGGCCACCGCAAATCACCCCGCCAATCAGGCGAGCTGTGCGGCAGACCCTTTTATGTACGCTGTAAGAATCGTGGGAACTCTCGACTAGCGGCACACACACGACGAGGAAGAGCCCTGCTGGCGCCACCTTGCAGTGCAGTGTTCACAACTCAATATTGGACGTTCACGTGGACCGTGCATGCTCGTCCCCCTCACCTGTTGTGTGTGTGTGATTGGTGTTCCACTAGGAGAGGAGGAGCCCGACAGGGCTTAAAACGACGCCGCAGAGTGCTGGACGTCGCTCTGAACCATGTAACGGTTCAACCACCACGCTCGTGGTTTGTGAAACCACTAATCCTTTCTTTTCTGTAAATATGTGTATATAGTGCCATAAACCTGTTTTGTTTTCGTATTCTCCTGCGTTCATCCTTCCGACCCTTAACAACTGGTGGCAGCGGTGGGATGCCATCAGCTGCAACCTCCTCTTTCGACCTTAACAGCAGCCACTGCGCGCGCGTCCTACGCTAACTTATAGCGTACGCATCTTATATTGCGGAAAAGGTATGGGTACTGAAGTAACACAAATCCTTCGTAACACATTCCAGAACTCTCTAACGTCTTCGTCGTGCTTACGCCAACCCCACGAAAAAAACACAACCACCGACGGCCTGAGTACTTCACTCTAAAACTCTCTAGTATATCTGTACATGGGTTGCACGTGACGTCATTTCCGGCTAACAAAGTGAGCGGCCGCAATGTTCGTCAACATTGAATCAGGCCAGTCAGGCTGCGCGTGCAGCTAACCACCGTTTCGGAGCTTGTCGGCGTCATTCGAGTGATAAGGCGAAAGAAAAGGACACACGCGCTCTTCCCTTCGTACTTAGAAGAGCTTATCGGACTCACTCGTGTACGTTACGGAGTGAAAATCGAAATGTGCGATGATGGCATCGACCCGTACGAACTGCGCATCGGGATGCTACGCCGAACGTCGACCTGTTGCCTTCCGTGATGCTTCCATCACAGCGTGTCCTTGTTCTAAGTGAGTTTAGTTACGAAGCTCTTTTTTTTTTCACGTCACGGTCAAAGTAAAATTTCGCCTTTCTCAAGACGCATGGGCTGCGACAGGATCTACTACTGATGGTTCATTACGCTCTGGTTCTGCGCCTGTGTAAGCCTGGCAGGCAGTCCGGTCGAAACGGCCGTGGCCCAGCTTCATTCTCGGTGGCCTGTCAGGGTGCACATCTTCCATTAAGTTCGCGGGTTGTCCTATGAAAAAAGACACGTTCACAATTCGCTCACGTTCACATATGTTGCACCGTTACACCTCATATAACACGAGACACGGTACTCGAGGGGAAAAGGTCGTCTTCACATCTCTGAGAGCTTCAGTAGCATTCTGGAGAAGACGCGATCACGTCAGTAAGCGTGGTAAACCTTGACATAAGTCGAAAATACCCTTACCTGTGATGAAGTGATGACAGCAGACACAAATGTATTTCTCTTTTTTTCAGGTTTTCACAGTTAATGCGCGCCAGTCAAGCAATACGGACAGCATCCTTGTTCGCGCACTCTGATTTCTAATAATAGCGGGAAAACTAAACATTATAGCGCTTGGCTGTACCTTGCCTTTAGAAGCAGAAGTTCCTTTTCTTGTTCTGCATTCATAAATGGCACAAATAGTAATCGTGAAGGCGGCAGGGTGACCGAAGACCAGATCTCGCCGCTGCAAAGCTCTCGACTACGCTTCCAGCCAGCTGGATGTGTCGACAAACATGGCGGTTCTCGGTCCTCTCGGTCCCGGATGTGACGTGCGTGCAACCCATGTGTACTCGCATATAAAGCATGATCGACTATTATGCGCGTCTGCCTTATAAATACAAATCGGACAGCTCAATAGCTAAAACGACCTTCTATGTCGTTTACCATAAAGGTCAGACTCATGGACGTGGTCCCAAACCGATGATGATGTCCACGAGTGAATACACTCAAAGGGCGTTTTGTACGAGCATAATGTGAAAACTTCAGACATGCACGAAGTCAGTGGGGGTATACATGCTTGTTTTATGATATGATCCCCTCAATTCAAACGTTCCCGTACACATCTCGCTGGTTTCGTTTTACTGGCATCGTGATTGTACACATACACGTGTTCATTTTTCCATCTTAGAGTCATTGTTCTCGACAACTTTTTTTTTTCGTGGATGTCGGGATGTAACAAAGGCGACGTTCCAACACAACGGAGCACTGTACACGAAGTACAACATGCAGTAATCGACGTGACGTCATCGTCTCTACGCGCGTTGAATGAGTTGCAGCACCGGAGTGCTCCGAGATAATACTTCGCCGACGGTAATACCGGGACTGTCCTTTGTTTGGAGCAGTCTGTAGCCGGTGTGAACCCGGTAGAACTCCTTGAACAGGACTAGACTCCCGGCGATTCGGTCTGTACGACGTAGGCAAAGCAAGCTTTCTCGCTGCACGTTCCACCAACGCGGCAAATGGTAGGTGCCGATACCCGTCTCACCAATTTCGGAGATCACTCTTCTACAGCCATCGTTACTCTTGTTGATGAGTGTAGCCAGCCGAGTTCACAGACCATCTACTCTCCGCTTCATGATTGGAAAGGTTAGCCAGCTTTTCTGGAAAAACCCCACGATGGAACTTGTCGCTAGAATTTTTCTGCCCAACTCGATTCACTTCTTGAACTTGGTTGCACCTGCATTGCCGAATCGAATGTTTGGTAGAACTTGCGTGGTCCATCTTGATACGCATCCACCCGCTGGATTTCAGTCGGAAGAGTTGATGGCGCTCACTTGGTTTTTACGTCAGCTCATCACCGTTTCAATTTAAATTGCTGGCAGAAGTTGTGCGCTTCAGCAAGGTGAACCAGCCAACCAACGAAACTCATGATCTTTGCACTGCCGAGCACACTGAACCTTGTAGCCACACTCGTTTGACGTTTTATTCAACCAGATTTCACACTCAGGAATTGACAGTGAAGCTTCGGCCAACTTGAAAAATAATTCTTGGTCCAAATAGCTGGCGAATAGAGCCAAAATTATGTTTAGATACGACGGCGGTAAATGCCATTTGTACGCGGACGTTTTCAATTTCAGTGAAATGCGGTTTTGAAGAACATATCACTGGCCGAGTTGGTCCTGCATTGTGGATCTCAACCCCAATCTAAATTCGGTATTGCAGAATTTCTCGCTGCAGTCTCATTCACCTTACACTGTAGATTGATTTCTTTTGCTCCGGCTTGTTCACAAATCGAGCCCCCAGCCTTGCCGGTTGAACTCACTAATCAAGTCTGGTTAGACTTCGCTTCCCCATCGATCCTGCTCAGGTTGGTGCTTTCCGAGGAGAACAACTACTTGAATCGTCAGCGGCGCGTGCCTCGAATAAACCGTCTGGCGGGTTCGTAGAGCGTCCTCGCGTCGTACTACAAACAAACGCGACGGCTGGTATACAAAATCAGTCGACGAATAACCTTTGACACTTCGGCTGAGCACACAACACACGGTGAAAACTGTCCAGGACGAATCTCTCTGGCAGTGTTGTCTCACTCTAAACATGGCAGAGCGTAAAATTATGACACACGTTAATGCAAGACAAAACAAGTTGATTTTTTGGCCTCGTGGTGTATAGGCTTGCACGCGAGTAGCCAGCTATCGCGCTTGCTCAAATGAGATATGTGCGCAAAGGCGTCGCTGGTGTAAACACGAGACGTTCTCGCAGAGCGTCGTCGGTGGACCCAACAATGAATAGCATGGTCGCCGGGACAAAGCACGACGCATGATTTAACAGCCGCCTTTGTTCACGGGGATGTCCCACCTCAAGTATGACACTTCCGCGCGAGGAAGGCTACCCGCTGACAGCCACATCTTCTCAACCACTCCATAAAAACCAGTGTTGCGTTGATAAGAAGTTGCGCGGAAACACGTCTACAACCCGAGTCACTGTGGGGCGAAAGTTTTCCCCACTTCACTTTTCGTTTGATCTTCGTGGCGATTATTGTCATTGCGTCCAAGCACAGAACGATTCCACAAAGTCCCTTAGACACAGCCAGCAACCACAGCCCGCTTTTGTGAGTTCAACGAGTCCGTGTCTGCGTAACTGCGCTCGGCGGGATGACACGCGGGATCCCACCACGCCGAAGGAGCGTTCCCACTGCACACACTATAACCTCCAGCACTCTCCGCACTCCCACACACCGGTCCTGTGCCAGCACAGAAGTGTTCAGCCCGATTCACGCGAGATGACCGTGCGGGAGACGACACTGCACGTTCCAGTCGAAGGCCATGCGGTACCTGCGAAGGTAATAATGGTGCTGTTATATGGTGACCTCACTGGGAAAGACTCTCTATGTCTAAACGAACTCTACAGCCTTCTTTTTTATGGCAAAACGTTACAGCTTATACGTTTATTGAGACAAAAGCCTCAGATGCACAATCGAACACGAAAAGTGACCCTCGACATCAGTGTCAACACGAGCTAAGCAAAAAAAAAAAGTCATCTTGCGATGAGGTCCATGTCTTACGTCATCACGACGCCGAATATCAGCAGAATTTGTGACGTCACACTGTCGTCATTATGACGTCTCTACATGACGTCATCACACAACAACGTCATTTGGTCATAGCGGAGCCACACCCTTATCACCTAAGTAAGAAGTGAGGGTTGTGCGAAATCGCCTCATACTTCAACCAAGTTTGCACTGTCCTATTAATACTTTAGGAAAAGGTGTACGGCCACGCACATTTTTTTTTTTTACGATAATGGAAGCGGAAAGCACGTGACACAGTACGCGATACAACTGTTAGGTTTCCTTCTTACTACCAGAAACCTAGAATACAACGGCAAGCCATTATTAAAAAGATATGTCACGGCATCATTTTTATTTTAACACAACAGTGTTTGTTTTATAACGGAGTCAACGAAAACTTCACCGACGCATTTCCCTCACGAGTATGACGTTGTAGGAGGCCTAACTCTCGTCGTATGCCGAATCCTATGACGAAGGGATCTACCATGTCCTTTTTTTTTTCTTCACCCATTGTGAAGCGTCTCGCATGTCTTTTGGAATCGAGCATGAGGAGGAGGAGATCAGCGATGAAACTGTGCCCCTCTCCCCCATCCTCCCAAATAAGAAACCCTGCGCCCACTTATGATGACTACGGTATTGGCGCAGCACCTAGACATAATCACCACAGGCAGAATTATTAATGAACGAAACTTACCGACGAGAAGTTGAGTCAGCCTTCAGCAGCCGGTGTAGTCATGGTCCGCGTCTCGTCGGGCTGTTCGGAGAGTACCGGAGGTTGGCGTCTGCTATCCGGAGCCTGCGTATATTTCGTAACAAGCGGAAGTTGGTCGATGCGGTGTTTCAATGAGTGCTTTTAGGGGTGAAGCTCCTTATAGCGGCACCCGTTCGTCCCCCGTAGTATGTAACAAGTATAACATTTTGACCTCCAAGGTGGTGCCGGTGAGAGACTTCTTCTGTGCGTTGTTGAACAATAAAAAATAGTGCTCAATGTACATGTCAATGGCTGCTAATGGAGAATGAGAGACAGGAGCATTCGGCTTTTAGTTAACGCGCAGGCTGCAATCACCATTAGCAGCCATTGGCATGTACATTGAGCACTATCTGACAAGAAAGGGTTGCTACGTTATACTCGCTGGGTGTAACCTCCTTAGTTTTAGAAAGGTTTAGCGAGCGTTGAGCCGCAGTGCCATGAATACAATGAACTTGTATATACCATGAATGAACTCGAGGTGGTTAAAAATGGGAAGTAGATACGAAGCGCAAGCCGTAAGAAAGTGTGCGTGTGCCACCTCTTGCTTAGTCCTTGGAATGTCCGCTGAATGGCGGTGCTTCTATATGGGGAATATATGATGAAAAGATGCGAGATGGTGGTACTTGGAGTGTTGAATATATGGACGAACGGACACATAGACAGATGCATGGATGGACGCATGAACGGACGCAGGGGCGGCTGCATGGACGAACGCAGGGGCGGACGCACGAACAGACGCACGCACGGACGGGCTGATGGACGCATGGACGGTCACACTGACGGACGCATGGACGGACGGAAGCAAGAAAGAATGGACGGACGAATTCTTCGCCCCACTCTCCATCATTCACTCCGTGGATATGCTGCCATTTTTTTAAACATTGCTGAAGTAGTTAGGCCACGCGATTCAAGGACACTCTAGGAAATAAGTCGCCATATATAAAAGACGTAACCTGACATGAGGGGCATTAGTTGCATAATCATACGAGATATGAGAGATATGCTCGCTCCGAGCTTCAGCGGCAGCTTTTACGTCACATAAATGTTATCTTTACTGTATTTGTCATATATGCTGCGTTATGCTGTTATACGAGCAAATTCGCTGAGAATTTTTCGTTTTCATGCGCTGAAAAGAAACTACCTGATGATACTCAGCCACGCACACCGCTATTTGATCACGGACTTTGCCATTCATCTCCACAAACTTAAATATTGTAAAAAAAGCAATAAACGAGTGTGCGATAAAGCTGGAACAGCGAGTATAGATTTAGCATTGCATTGCATTATACCTGAAACTATCTTCGGTCCTTCTCGGTTACTTCCGAGGGCAGACACATCTATCTATTCGTCTCATTCAAATAACTCACAAGAACTTGCTCTCAACTGAACATCCTACACTTTAAGAACCGAGTTGCAAAAGCCTCAGTTGCCATCTGTGATATTAGCACAGGTGTGACAAGCTGAATTTTCTTATGGTGGTCAAGACCGATTGGCGTCGTGTTTCTTGATTGCGATTGGTATATTTATGCAAGTGTCGATAGCGACCTTAAGTGCCGGTGGAATAGCGGTATAGATGTTTCTTTTTTGTGTGTGAAACCTGAGGGGGATGAGGAGGAATGATAGAATGCTGCAGGCACATCTGGGCTTTGAAAGGATGTCACTAGCAGCTCCGCCCGAGCGCCACCTGTCAAATGCGGTACAGCCTCAAGCTTATCAGTCAACGCTAGTAGCAAGACGCTGAACATTAGCCTAATTATTGATACTCCTTGTACCGGAATGCTAATTATATCTACCGACATACATCACTATTTTAATTCGTTCTATCCATATATCTCTCACTATTCTAATTACATTTACTCACACATTTCTCCGTTCACGCCAACTAAAGTCATCAAAGAACTGCGCATTTCTCATTTACATGCATTCGTTAATCTGTGTCCTTAACGATTCATTTCCACCACCTCTTTTCCTCTCTTCAATGAAAAATGAAAAAAGAAGTGTCTTTAGCAAATATCATGCAGCCCGACAATGAGTTTTCCAAAAGCCACCGAGATTGCAACGACGCACCTGAAGAGGGGCACCATTACTAATACAGAGGCCGCGACTAAGACTCGTTACTTACCGGGGGCTCCAGACGGGGGCAGGCAGCCAGGCTTCCTCCACTGCATCACACACACGTTCTCTTGAGGCTCTCTGAGAGGTTAAGAGAAAGGAGGGGAAAAAAGTAGGAGTGAGCGAGAGAACGCCACAGGTACTCACAGGCTGGAAGAAGCACCGAGACATTGCACTGCTCCTGTGTTCCTTCCTAACTTGTCTCGCTCCATACAGGGCTGGTCTTACGTGATCGTGAATCAGCCCGACGAAAGCCAATTGTTGCCTTCAGTTCAAAAGCATACGCCACATTTTTTTTTCAACTGTTGCATGTTGCTGCTTGTTTTGCCTTGTACGAGTTCCTTAATCACCTGCTAATCTTCTGCCAATTGTTTTCAATTCACTTTTGCTGTAGCTTTTAACTGAGGGTCCCGTTTTCAGCATTTATACACTGGGGCCTTCATCTGTATACAAGTGGTATGTAATCGATGCTTTGTAACTAATCAAAACTGAAATTGAAACAAGATTTCACGCTGACATAGTTTACCACCTAAACTTAATTTCTTACTTGCCACATAAAACAATGTTGGCGCTGACGCATGCTGTGCTGTCAGCCACCTGGCGTTTAGGTGCACACCGCAAAGGACAGCCGATGCGTATCTGCATATATCGTTCATTAGAAGCTTTGTTAATCTATGAGACCAACTTACATGCTTTCTTCAATGCTATCTTTGTTTTCCTCGTCGTTTTGGTGCCATATTTCAGTTATTTTACTCTCATCCTTAGCCGTGGTACAGACTAGGTGTCCACGGAATAGTGAGCCCATCGATGAACACCCACACCGAGCCCAAGGCTTACATTCCTATATCTATTTTCGTAAACAACGATAACGACGCAATTTGTACATGCCTATACTCGCAGTTGTAGTTTGAGCCACATCCCGCAGGATCTACTAACCAACTAACTCATAGATATTTTACGCAAACTCAAATTTAGATAGTAGGTGTCCGGGCTCTAGGCGAAACCAAAGCTCACGACAACTACGCGGCTTGGAAATTTATTTCATCAAACTTAAGATTAGGTGATTAGCGGATATGTAACTATATTTCAGGAGGTCGCAGGTTCTTCGGTGAACACAATGTTTTCGAAGTTCACGCGTGCAAAGCCTCTTCTTTCACAGACTATAAAACGTCGTCGTGGCACTGTCTTGCTAAGCTTTACTTCCGTGGATCATTCCAAGATGTTAGGGTGACCATCCTATAATTTTTATATCTTGGTGATTTTTCCCACTTGTTTTGTGTCTGTCTCAAAACTTGGGGACATGGACATCGTCAAGCCTTGTTGCCTTTCTGCCCGCGGTCCTCAACATTGTTTGTACTAATGTTGAAATAAATTTGATTCGAAATGGGATGCGAGCTTGTATGCGAGCTTGCGTTGCGCGTTCGATTCCTGTCCCGCGTTCCTATACAGGCGAAGCACGACGCTAATTCCGTGGCATGCCGTGAACGCTAAGAGCTCTGCAAGTGGCGAAGACTGAAACGGAGTCTACCGGTACCGGCATTGTGACGCAGCGCACGTCCAGATGTGCACAAACGTAATAGACGCGACATGTCCACCATAATCTCCTGAGCACCTGAGCAACATACAACCCTATCGGTCAAGATCACCCTCAGATAAGCTGCACACCGTTGTGTCGTCTAAATGCAGCAGGCGCTGCCGCTAGCTTTATTGAAAGCGGAATAGATTTACCACAGGCTCTAATTAGATAGTCTCTTGCTCGGAGTAGAAAATTAGCACCTCACCAACGCTTTCAGAAACTCGTTAGGGAACACTACCACTTAACGAGACGATTAGCGACAAAACGTAGTGTCTTTGTACTCGGATAGTCTTTTTTTTGTTTTCTTTTATCTTACTTTTGTTTCTTAGCGCACTACAAGTGCCCCCCCTGCTTTCGGCGCTTGGGAACAATAGAAACAGCGTGCTCTTCAGTTCTTCAAGGTTGATGTACTGCAAGGATCGGATAAATATTGTGAAATGACGATGTGAACGTAATTTACTTGTTTGTTTTCACGAAGGTAACTAATATTATAATATTTGCTGAAATTTTACGTCCCAAAATCACGATATGATTATGAGAGACAACGTAGTGGTGGGCTCCGAAAATTGAAAGCAAATGGGGTGCTTAAACCTGCACCTAAATCTAAACACCTGGACCTACGCTGGTAATTAAATTAAAACATTGACACCACACATCGACGTTTTCGCTCTTCTATACGTTTGCATATTGATCATACCACGTAGCAGACACCTTTATTACGTCGTTGACCTTTCACTCTTCCTAACTCTCTACATGTATAATATCACAGCTGCTCGATTTCCAGAGCGGCTCATGTGCGTCAGCAACGCATTCGCTGGGAACACGTGACCCGACACGGTAAAAAACTGCCGTCAGCCATGATGTCTTGAATATGGCAGTTGTCGTCACGAGCACTGAAACTAAGCGAAATTCATATTGGTTAATACTTGGGAAAAAATACCTCTAGAGATGACCTAGTAATGATCATACGCGTGCGCATCGTTCCCCTTCAGGGAGCAAAGGGCTATGGTTCGTCGCAGCAGCCCTCCTTTCTAATATGTCAATGTGCGGGGCTGACTTTGCGACCCCCCCCCCCCCCCCCCCCGTGGGTACGCCTATAATATCGGTGATTTTCTAACGGGAAATCAGTTGTCTTGCATACCAAGACAGCTACTGCGCACACCGCTAAAGGACGCCTTCATCTTCCTCCTCACTGGCCGCTGCTACCGAAAGTTTTCATTGTTCCGAATTTTGGGGAAATGGAGATTCCCTGTTGGAGAGCCCAAGCGATGCGGTAGTCTAACCCACCGCGTTCTTATTCTCGCCGGCCGTTCTCGTTAGGCGTCTCCTCAGCGTTCGCTAGCTGTAATGTCCCTGGAACCTCCTGGAGGCCCCTATACTAAGACTCCGTAATAGAAAGTTTTAGTGCGGGAGGCACCAATTCATTTGCGTACGCACGATATTTGAGTTACTTTGTACTCTGAGCGGCACCCTACAAAGGAACGCAAGGGCTTACGCAGGTAACTGCCTGAGCTCTCCGACCCTAAACGTTTCTCTTTATTAGAGCTTTAGTGCAGGTGCCCCAAGATGCCTGCTTACGCAAGACCTTGAGTTCCTTAGAGCCATTTCTTGTTGCAACTGTCGAACCAAAGAAAGCGAAGAGATGCAGGGACGCAACGGCCGGGGGTCACCGACACCAGAACGCCCTAATGAAATGCACAGCAGGAGGCGTCCTGCTGTGCAGGAGGCGTCCACGTCGGAATCAGGGTGCAATTCATATTTTCCAGTTATCGACTGCGGATAACGCTATCTTGTTCTCCTTTCAAGTTGGGCAGGCATATGCGCTATACTCACGGCGGTCGGCTGCGCAGAACGAGCCTCGCGAGGCTGGCGCCCTGCGCGAGCAGCGGCTGTGCCTCGGGCATCGGCGGCGGCGCCTTGGGCGGCAGCGTGGCAGCGTTGCCGCCGCCAGCGCCACCGGCGGGCCCCACGGGCGACGGGGGAGGCGCGCGCAGCGCAAGTGGCTTTCCGCCCGCGGTGGTCAGGTGGGGTGGCTCACCGGGCTTGGCCAGCTTGTAGCTGCGCTTGTGTAGCTTCGCCTCGAGTCGCGTCTTGTCCCGCTGGTAGTAGACGCCCGCGAAGATGAGCACGTTGAGCACGAGCAGCGAGCAGCCGACGGCGATGGTGACGCTGAGCGCGGTCGAGTACCCGCCGCCGGACAGCGGCTCCCACAGGGGCCTCGCCGTGGACGCCGCCTCGGCGGGCCACGCGCCGCTCTCGTTGCCCTGCGAGCACCGCCCATGACGCCGTCAGGCGTACAGTCACGAACGACAACAGACGGAACGCTGGCATTATCAAATGTTGGGGTTTACGCCCCAAGACCACCATATGAATATGAGGGACGCCGCAGTGAAGAGCTCCGCATATTTCGAGCATCTAGCGTGCACGAGCACTGCAATTTACATAAACGGGCCTCTACCATATATGCCCTCACCGAAATATAGCCGCAGCAGCCTGGATTCGATCCCGTAACCTCCGCGTATGCAGTCGACCGCCATAACCACCAGACCACCGTGGCGAGTAACAGAGAAATCATCTTTTCGAGGTCACTGCAACTAAAAGCAGCTGAAAAGCGCAAAAATGTTCACAACACTACACGCTCAAGCGGAAAGGTTTCTTTCGCAATTCAACACATCACATTCGAGTCGCGCTTCTCCTAACCTCGGGGTGAGTGGTTGCACGACAGTCGAGGCACGACAGTCGTCGCATGCGAGCGAGCCTTGCGCACGCGAAGCAATACGAAGCAATACCTGTCGCGCATTTGTCAACAGCCTTCGCAAACCGTCATGACAACGCGAGCGAATGCCTAAGCTGCGCGTACGTGTTTCTGCTATCCTCGGAAGGATGGAGGACTCCGGGGCGGAGTGGATGCCGGCGCCACGCATGACTTGATCTCTTTTCACTCTCCATTGCGTAGACATGTGCAAATAGCCTTTGAAGCGCATCCTCTTACACCGTTCACTAAAGCAACCATCTCGCATACGCTTTTTTCGCCTTTGCTGGTTTTTCTATGATCTCATTGACTCAAACACACGGATTGAATGAGAGACACCACGCGACACTTCATGCATCGGCAAGCTTCGGTCATTCATATGCAGGAACACGACGGCTTTTCAGCTTCTTCTTCTCGTTTTTTTTAGAGGCGAAGCTCCTTAAGGCGTGGGTCTGTCCATCCTTTGTATGTATGTATGCAAAAGTACGTACCCACCGGTGGCACATACCTGCTCTAGAAGGAAGGAAGGAAAATAGAGGGAAAAGAAAGGCAAGGAGGTTAACCAGCCTATAGGCAGCCGGTTTGCTACCCTGCGCCTGGGAGAGGGATGGTGGAGATGAAAGAGAGCAGAGAGGGTATGTGCCACAAGGGATGCGAGATGGCGGTACTTAGAGTGTTCACCAGATGGACACATGGACGGACAGACAGACTAGCAGACGGACGGACGGATGGACGCACGAACAGACAGACAGGCAGATGGATGTACGAACTCACGGATGGACGCACGGAGAGACGGACGGACGCATGGATGGCCGCGCGGACGGACGGAAACAAGAACGAACGGACGGAAGCACGGACAGGCTGACGGACGCTTCGCCCCACTCATCATCATTCACTCCGTGAATATGCCATGATTTTTTTTTATGATGTGTTAGCGAATCTGCGCTGCTAGAGTTCTGTCGGGAAATGATTCCAATGACAATAAAATCATAAATAACTTTCAATCCCACTTTCACTTGCTGGTCCAGTTTTAATACATCGCCCTTTGCGTAAAAATTACACCACAGAAAAACAGACCCAGAATACCATAATAGTAAACGTCAGCAACTCTCCTCTAAACACAAGTTCGTGGCCAAGAAGGCTCGTTCGTGAATAGTCGGGATTCTGTCATCTACAGGTCTTCATGTTGGACTCCATGTCACAATTCACGTGGGGAAAGGGTTTCGTGAAGTACGCGACAGCAATACACTCATGTCCTTTTTAATGGCGATTTTAAAGCCTCGGATATCTACGTATCAAGGTCGTGTTTTGAGACACAAAACCGGGCGCGCGTTCTTAGAAAGCATTTTGAGAAGGCATGGGGTGCAGCGATAGAAACAGAGAAGTTTAAAGACGGGACAACGGCGGCGCCGCAGCAGCACAAAGAGAAAGGGAGAAAGCTATTGAGACAACAGATGAGTTTTTATGCTGCCGTCTTGGGCCTTGCTTTTTCGTATATTTAACCACCAAAACGAACAGTGCTATGGTAGAAGCACACGCATAGAAACGGTTGGGTCAGTGCATTCGACGCTTCATCAGACTAAAAAGCCGGACCATGTGTACGCGCTGCAACGCGTCAGCACGTGGTTTGTTGACTCGGCACCAATCCCTCTCCCTATGGGATGAAGGGGCGCACGGCTTCGTGTAGCCTGTCACCCACTTTCTTCATAGAAAGAGGACGTGGCGCCAAGTTTACACGCCACGCGTTGGAAGGCGTACGTGTGGCCAAGCCTTTATAATTCCCGTAACGAGATACAAAATTAAAGGAAACGTTCGTCTTTCAACTCAAGGTGGTATGGTAGAACTACGATGATTTCTTACGTAAAATCATCTATGTCGCTGCGTGGGCTCAGCGCTTCAATCACATCGCTACTGGTACAAGTAGGCTTTCACCTTCACATTCTCAGGAAGTTCTATAGCACCGTCTCCCGTGAATAGTTAGCCGTCCCATAAAACACCACCTCGAAGACACTTGCCTGCGATGCCTGCGGCACGCCGGGCGCTGGTGACAGCGGGGCGGCGCTGCTGCTACTGCTGCTGGTGCTGCTGCTGGGCGCCGTGGAAGAAGACGACGAGGAGGACGCGGGCGCCGTGCCATCCAGGGAGCGCACGTGGCCGTCGTAGCTGAGTGGGTTGTCGTGGTCCTCGAGCAAGTGGTGCGCCTCGGGGGCGCCCGGCCGGTGCAGCTGCGGTATCAGGTGCAGCCACAGCGACAGTCGGTGCGCGTGGTAGTGGTCCTTCACCTTGGGCTTCAACCCTGGGTCAGGCGCAGACAAAAAAAAAATGGGGTTAGTTGTCTATTCAGTACATATTTCAGCCTTACCGACGCATCTCCAACTATGCATGTACTGAGACATGGCGCGTATACGTAAGCGCAACACCACAGGCGCTTTGTTACGGTGACGAACTGGAACGGCCAGAAGAGAACATTGTCACCGTGGCTGAAGACGTGTTGCGAACAAACAGGATGACGAAACTATACGATAGCCAGAGACAGGCGTTTGTTAGTTTCCATGGCCTCTTGTGTTCGTCGTGCTCATTTTGCGCAACACGTTTACAGAGTCGCTAAAGCCTAAACCATGCTATCACCAATATGGCACTATAGGATGAATCCCGCATGAGAAGAATAAGCAATTTTTCGTAAGTAAATTATCTCATAGCAATAAGTGAACAGTGAGAAGCATGGCACCACTTGTAAGGGCTATCTTGTGGCAGCGATTGGGGGAGAAACCTTTCTTCAGCCAGCCTTCGCGTTGTACGTGTACCAGTAAGGCTTCCGGAAATACACATTCACCTTCAGTCCTCACTTTCAGATGTACGTGTCTCATAAGCAAAAAAAAAAATTATTTTTTTGCTTGCAGAAGCCTAGACGTCAGACTCTGGCGTTTTGCAGACACGCAGCGCCACCTGTCGAAACAGTTTTGATCAGTGCAAAGCCCGACTGCCTTGCACAGTTTGCTGCGCTACCAGGTGTAACTACAGCGTTCGAAACAACGATTGAGCTAAATATTAGGTGTATTTGCGCATTGAACACTTAGAAAAAGAGCTACGAATTTCTCTCCGCTAGTCAGACGCGTCGCCGGACCGCCTTGACTGCTGGTTAACTCGCCTGAACGACGGCGAAAACAAGAGCAGACGCAATAACTCCGCCCTCTACGAGAAAAGACGCCATTCTGCGCTACTGTTGCGTTGTGATTTGCCAGGGACGTAAATGACTCGATTTACTGATTTCCACAGTGTTTGCAAAGCACAATGGCGAGAGTGCTAAATACAGGCCGTTGCGAACGTGTTTGGTAAGAGAATTACTCGCGTTCTCCACAGCCGTTCGCATAAGTAAGTGTGACAATGTATAAGTCTCCTGCTATTGTTTTGAGTAGCCTTGACGGATAACCATGGTAACCTTTATTATGAAGCTTGACAGACTCTTTGACCGCGGAGCGCGACGTACAACCGTAGACAGGTGACGCCTGGCGGTTCGTGTGTCGCACACGTCGCGACCACCAGTAATCTGAAGTTATCGCCACCATAAAGCACTACGCACGTAGGACTTTGAAGGCTCTAAGTCACAGCTTTTGCTGGGAAATGCGAACACGTGCGTCCTACAGGTATATCGTAAAATGATCGCAACCACAATCAGTTTTTTTTTTTTTTTCCATTAGGCTCTGCCATTACCGGAGCTATCTCGGAGCCACCGGTTTTGCCTTTCGTTGAACACTGAGAAAGTGGACACGCATGTATCCCCATTTGCACTATATACAAACGGAATACAACCGTCAACAGAGCATTCCAACATGCGTAATAGACACGCTTGCTGGATTCCGGGCCGACCGGTTGTGCGCTCGCGCGCTCCGCGCGCTTGCGATCTCCGGCGTCAGCGTGGCTCTGGCCGACTGGGCTCGCCCTACGTCACCTCCTGCCGCCGACGACCTTCCACCTCCGACGACAGTGTAGCTCTGACTTACTGGACTTGCTCTACGCCATCTACCGACACCGAAAGGAGCTCTCGCAGGTGTGCCCTGTCCTCGGACTCCAGTGACCGTGCTCCCATCTTTCCTATCTCTTCTATCCCCTCATTTTGTCGTCTCTCGCTCTGGCTTACCACCTCACGTCTCTTCCTCTCTTCTCCTTCTTCGGCTTTCCTACATCTCTACTCCTATCCTTTTTTATCCCTCCTCGCCCCCATTCCTCGTGAGCTACTGTGGCGGTGTCGCTCACTGAAGCAGACAATAACGGGGCTCACTTTTCTCTTCCTTTCTCTTTTTAAGAATTTTCAAGAATCAACATGCGTAATAAAACCGTTCAATGCACAGCAAGCGAGAAATCGATAGTGAACGCAACTGCAAAGCGAAAATCACCAGGGCAATTCATGCAGTATAAAGCGAGCTTCGTACCACTGATCGCATAGATGGTTCGTGTATGCACTTCCTCGCTTTCGCATCATGTGTATGCTCAAGTTTAACGCGTTTAGGCATTACAAAACGCACGTCGGAGTGCTTGCCTCAAACACGATGTCATCCGATGCTCGCTTGTATTTAAAATATCCGTTGCAACACGCCGAAATAAATGAAACATCTTTTGCACAGCACCCTCATTTAGTTTTGATGAGCTTCCTGTTTTTATGAAGCGAGGTTGGATTGAAAGAAGAAGCTTGCAAGATCCTTGATTTTCAGGAAACCGCGTATCAAGACCAACGAAAGAGGAGGGTTTATGCACGTTCGCTGGCGGACGGCTCTCTGTGCACTACCCATTTATGGCCGGCGCGGCGATGGGGGCGCTGGTGGCGGCGTTTTTCGCAGCGTCGCCTGGGTAGAGTCTTACGTCCCAGCCACCCAAACGGGCGACATGAATACAGCGGGCTCAACGCATTGGAAGAGAACGGCATGCTGTGACCTCTTTGTCCAGCGCTGATAAGGCGAGAAGCCACCGGTCTTTATATACAGTATGCCATTGATTAAAGTTCTCCTCTCACCGATGAGTAGGTACTTCTGGTGCGCCGGCTCGTAAGGTGGCCAAGCGATGCGCTCGAAGCGCCCTTTGGCATGCAGCTCGCTCCCGGTCAGACCGCCGCTGTGGCCCGTGTAGCTGGGGTCCCTGCAGAGTGGCGGTTACCGTGTAGAATATTTAACGCCGCAGTATATGTTACAAAACTACGATCCGTCTTTGAGGCACGCTACTGGGGAACAGTAAAATGGTTTCGGCCACATGGTTTTCTATAGCGCGCACACAGCACACAGTACACAAATGCACCTTTCATCCTGGTTGAATGCGGTAAGCCCGCCCTGAATTGAACTCGTGACCTTGTGCTCATCAGCCAACGTCACAGTGTTAATACAGATTTTGTTTAAAAGGCTTGTTTCCTTCCTCCAAATTCTTTCCAAATTTTCCTTCTTTCCTCGTACCATTGAAGAGTGGAACGATTTGCCTGCAAGCAGTTTACACTCTCCCGATCTTATTTACGCTGAAATTTGAAGTTGTTTTTCTAACTATTCCAACTATTTCCTCTGTTCCCTCCCCACTCTTTCCTTTTGTTGCTTTTGTATAAATATGTACGCTTTCCACTTTTTACTCTCTTTATTGTTGATGTTGTTTTGAAATGTGTATGACAACTGTATTATCTTGCCCCTCCTGCTTTGGCCTCTGGCCAGCAGTATTTGTAAATAAATAAATAAATAAATTTTAGGGAAGATTGATCCAGATTGGTATGCCAAGGAATATCTTCAAATCAAACTGCCCTCCAAACAGGCTAGCTTACTCGGCCAGAATGCCGATTAACGCCAAGCGAAGGAAGTCATGAGAAAGATAGTTGGCTTTGATACACGGTCGCAAGAAGAAAAGAAGTCACAGTTTGGCCGCAAAGGCGAACCACTGAATGCGATAGCAACGAATTGGAATATCACAGGAAGAACGGCAAGCACCTCGAAACTTGCAGAGCGCCACTCAAACACGAAGGACGCACACGAACACACGCAGCACAAGTGCTAACGAACAATTGTAACTGCTCGAAGCTTGCAGCGCGCTGCTCAAACACAAAGAAAGACGCTCAGTGAATGCCCAGGTACACACAGGGCGATCGCGAACCAGCAATTGTCACATTCGTAGCTTCTTTGTGTTTGAGCTGCACCCAGCAAGTGTTGACTGTGCGCAGCCTAACAATCCTAAATTGATGATATTTTTTAAAAGAGTGGCGCATAGAGTGTGTCCTCCGAAATTGGCTTCTGCAACGAGTCGGAGCTAATCGCGGAGGCCACGTGTATAGCGATCTTCCTGTCACGCGGTGGCGTTCGACGCATCGTACGACATGAGTGTATGACGAACTTGGATGGCATGTCATCACAAGAATATCATAATCGGCTTGTCTTGTACGCCCTCTGCTTCGCGTAAATCTATTTCCACAGTGCTCGGAGGCGTTGTTTTAACGTTAGGCCCGTGGAGCCTCCAGTCTGCGTTCCCTGACGCACGGTGGCGTTCAACGCCTTGTTTACTTATGTTTACCCGGCTTTCTGCATTCCAAATGAGCACAGAAATCGGTCACTTTAGCGCGTCTCAAGAGCAGTTCTCTAACTGAAAGAAAACGTAGGGCCGTTAGGGCCGACGAGCCTGAATGCGCACCCTTCGTGCGATTTCGAGGGCGATAATGAACACCTTGTGCTCGGAGAGAGCTTCAAAGCTGCTGTGCCAGTTGTCCGCGATCATAACAGGCGGTGGCGAGCTTTGTGCTGGACGGAGCCCATGCGCTGCGACATCGCTACAAACAGCTCAGTATGTCGACGTCACATACCCGGTTTACAAACGTCGCATAGGTCTATAGCCCTGCTGTGGGCGCAATCAGGTCCATGATGATGATCACGAAGACGAGAAGGATGATGAAGATAATTATTATATGATGCTCATGGAGTTGTTGATTTTTTTTTCACGGCTTAAGGAAGAACGGAATTCAGCAATATGCAAGAGACCACTTAGGATAGAAATTTAGGAGAGAGTATTTCGCGCTGGAATTTCCGAGCACTGCAGTGGAGCCAGGTTGATGATCATAGTGACGACAAAGAGAAGCATCGTGATAATCATTATGCTGCTGATGATGATGATGATAATGATCGTATAGAGATGGTGATAGAAAATTTTTTCACGAAGACAGAAAGTAACAGGCAGGACGTACCCAAACTTGACGAAGTTCGTCCAGAACGAGACGGTGGCCTCGGCGAGCGCCTGCTCTTGCCTGCTATAGTTGCGGCCGAAGTGTCCAAGCGCGGCGACGAGCGGCGCGCCGAACACGAAGGCCAATTCCTCGCCATGCACGCATCCGAGCCGGCTCGGGTAGTCCGACGAGAGCTCGGCCTGGTGCGCGAACACGTACAGGAAGGTGGCAGCGGCGCGGGACAGGAGGCCCGCAGTGCGCACCAGCGGAGCCACCACCAGGGCGTCACCCACGGCCTCGCCCGTGCTGTCCAGGATGTTGAGCGGGTGCTGCACCAGGACGATGAAACGATTGAAGAATGAAGTCTACGCAGGCAAACCTGACTTAGCCTAACGTAAACAAAGTTAGGTACTGCTGATTGGGCGAGTTGGTGCCTCTGATTCATGTATTGCTTAAGCGCAACTCAGGTTGAGCATGAAGGAAATGGACATAGACAAGGATGGTAAAAAATGGGGGACAGGATAAACACTAACCCATTCGCATTTATTTTCCCTTCCTCGCTTACGGTGTTTTTTATTTGTTTATCAAAAATTTCGGCCATGTGGTCCAAGCAGGCAGGATAAAAAAGAAATAGTGCGTACAGAGCACGCCTGTAGTAAAGATTAAGTTATAATATTGAATAAATAGGGTGAATTTATTTGGCAAAACACTACAAAACAAAGAAATAATAATGAAGATTACGATGTCGATTTGGTTATACAATTCCATTCGATTGTAGTAAACGAGATTTCGGCCTCGTATACGCCAGCGCGGTTCTTTATGCTCAAACTGAGTTGTGCTAAGGCAATGCATGAAGTGAGAAAACCTATCCAGTTTCGTCAGTGAGACTTTCCTAGTTCAATGACACACACACGCACACACACACACACACACACACACACACACACACTGACCTGGAAGGGTTTCGTCCAGTCGGTGTACTCGTTGACGATGGTGAGAAATATCTCCTGCTGGTGGAAGGAGAAGAGGTTGCGCACCAGCGTGCGCAGCAGCCGGTCCCGCCGGTCCGCCTCAATGCCGTACTTCTCCTCCGAGGCGCTCACGAAGAAGTACGACTCGAACCGCGACACGCCCATCATCAGCTCGAGGCGGCGGCCCGACGAGGCGAGCGACTCGGTCAGCTCCAGGGGCTCGGCGCGCAACACGATGCCGTCCACGGTGGGGCCGAACGCGCTCAGGTGGTCGGGCACGGACAGGGGCACACGCAGCAGGTCTCCCACCGGTCGCAGCCGCAGGCACTCGACCAGCCCTTCTTCTTCGGCCACGGGGCAGTCCAGGGCGCGGGCCACGTGACGCGCGTGCGCGTGCGCGTCGCGGGCCAGCGCCCACGGACTGAGCGCCGAGCCGGACATCAGGAGGGCGCGGTGCACCAGCGACTGGGCCATGGGCGCCAGCAGGAGCAGGTGTGCCATAGCGGCGCCCGTGCCGTGGCCAGCGAGCGTCACGTTGGCAGGGTCACCGCCAAACTCGGCGATGTTGTCGCGGATCCAGTGCAGGGCCGCGATCTGGTCCAGCAGGCCGTTGTTGGCCCGCGCGCTGTTCCCCATCGCCGGAAGGAAGCCTGCGAGATAGTTGATGATTAGCTCCAGTCGCGACACACGAGAAAACTACGAGGTTCCTGAAAATACATCTGAGAACATTCAGCGTCCGGTCAACACGTTCTTCTATGTTGGAGATATGAGCTCCCAAGGTTAGCATGCGGTCCAATGCTATCGAAGTAAACGATGTTTTCGCACAACAGGCCATACAGTCTGGTTGACCGCGAGACCGAGCTGGTCATGACATTTTTTAGTAGAAAGTATCACTGCAGATTTCTCTGCTGAAAAATAAGGCATTATTGAGGATCAGAGTGAGGCAAAAGTGCAGGAAAATATTGAGTCATAGAGAGATCAAAGACTCTTTACCAGAGGTTGACGCTGGAGCCAATGTTCTGAAGAGCGGTCTTGCCTTCTTCAAGGCAGTTGCTGCGATAGATGTGCGCAGGACCTCAGCGCTCACTCCCTCCTTACTAAGTCAAATTGTGGACCCGACTTTGCGCCGCCCTCACCCCTTTCTTAGGTTTTCGCAAGCCCACTTGTGGAAACGAAGACTTCAGCCATATCCCTGCCCAACCATTCTTAGATGCGGAGCATCTCTTGCTCGGGTTATGTCCCGCGGCGTGGGCGTCCACACTGACACTACGCATGCGCAACTCTCCTCCTTCTCTCTCTCCAACAGCTGCGCATTACTCTCTCCACTTTCTCCTACCACCTGCTTGCGCTTTTCCCGCGTTCTCGCTTCTCCTTTCGCGGTGCATGCGCTCCAGTCTCTTTTTTCCGTCAAGTGTGAATATAAAGCGGACGCGCATGCGAGCGCTCTTTATATACTGCTGCTACGTGGAAACGTCCCACACTCTTTAGGAGCGTCGCCCCTAAGAAATTCGTAGCGTGCGCGTTAACTAGAAGCGGACTGCGGGTCTCTGTGTCCAATTGTAGTATTTTGTCACTCAGTGCCCGTTAGCAGCGACTGGCATGTTCCAGTAGGAAACACCGGTCCATCGCTGCGCGCTTTGCGCCTCCCTAGGTTTCTCTCCTGCGCAACGCCACGATTAGCGCCAGCGTCAACGCCGCCGCCAGTGTAAGCGTTAGCTCCCGCTGCTTCGCATCTGCACATGGTTCCCTTTAGTGGGAGGCTGTGTAATTATTTTTGATTTAGCGATATTCAGGTAGTTCAGTGTAATTTCTTGTTGCTCTCAACGCTAAGTTGCGTAGCTCCATTTCATAAGAAAAAATCAGCACAGGCGTGGTATCTGCTACATGTTGTGTTGAGCACCGAGTGCCTCTCAAATTAACACCTTGGTAATGCAGCCACTTCACGGTTTTTTTTTTCACACAACTTACAATGTCGTTATGCAACTTTGCATCCATCTCTTAGCGCTCGGTTTGCCCTCAAATAAACCCAAACTTTCAAAACACGTTGAAGTGCACGAATGCCTTGGTCTTCGCCGCGTAAGAAAGCATGAACCACTATACATGTTCCTTCTTTCCAAGAGCGAAGTTAAAACGAGTAATAGAGATATCAGCGTTGTCCAGAACAGAATAAGCTTCTGTTCTCGTTCTATCAGCCACCAAAACGTTTTTTGTAAAAAAAAAATTGCAATTTCAATACAATGTGAATCTCGAGAAAGTTGTTTCTTACATACAGTCGTAACGGGTTTGCGTAATTTCAACTACCTTTCTGGACTGTTTCTTGCTAGCTAATAACGACGCTTACGCGAGACAGCTGGCGCACAGCAACATTTGACACGTCACTCAGCATTAGCTCTACCAACGCTTCGCGCGCTCTTACCGAGGATGCCGAGACGGAAGTTGATGGTGACCACCACCACATTTCCGGCCGAGGCCATAACGGTACCGTCGTACGGGTTGCCGGAGTTCCATTCGTACGACTCGCCGTGGATGAACATCAGCACTGGAAGCCTCACAGCGTCTCGGCCCACTGCACCATCATACAAAAAGAGAAATGAACGGGTTTATAGAAAGGCAAGTGTGTCTACTACTCTATATACGCTACCGAAAGAGAAGAGGAAAGAAAAGGAGTGATTAGTACTAGTAATTAGGAAGAAAACCAAGTGGTCCATAAAACCAAGTGTTAAGGTCGGTTGCTCGTGAAAAGACCCAATGCTGCTCCGTGCGCAGCATTGGGTCTGAGCACACGAAAACAATGCCACCAGGGAATAAAGACGAGAGACGGACAAGCGCATTTAGCCCTACCGCGGTAGTCCAGTGGTTAAGGTTGCTGACCCGCAGGTCGCGGGATCGAATCCCGGCTGCGGCGGCTCCATTTTAGATGAAGGCGAAAATGCTGTAGGCCCGTGCGCTCAGATTTGGGTGCACATTAAAGAACCCCAGTCGGTCGATATTTCCGGAGCCCTCCAGTACAGCGTCTCTCATAATCATACGGTGGTTTTCGGTACGTTAAACCCCACATATCAATCAATTAACAAGCGCCTTTATTTCACGCTGAAAGCTACCGTAAGAATGAACCCACTCACCGAACAAGGCGCTCTACGGAATTTCCTCACCAGGAAGTGGTCCGCTATCGACTTGCTCAATCAAGTCAAATTCACGACGCTTTCACTTGAAATTAAACCTACTTCATCATTAGTACAAACAATGTTGAGAACCACGAACAAAAAGCCAGCAAGGCTTGACGTAGTCCCTGTCCGCCCCCCCCCCCTTTTTTTTGAGGCAGAGACAAAACAACAAATGGTAAAGGCAGTTTAACATTAAAACATAGAAATTCTAGGTTACTCTCACTCATAACTCAGAAAATACATGATTACACAGACTTATGAATTGTGTTTGCCATCAATACACAAGAAAAAGCTCAAAAGCAAGCAAAGTTAAAACTTAAAAAAAAAAGAAAACGGAAGACTACCACCGGTGAACCTCGTCAGCGCTAGTCGCCATTGGACAGCCGGCTTGCGTAATTATATGTACAGCATCCGGATTGGGCTGAAATTTTCTCTTACGATCTATTCTAGCGCATCCACGGGGTAAGCTACCTAATTCCTACTCCCGTATGCGCTGGACAAGCGCAACAAAACACGTCTACGAGCGCTAACACATACACACCAGCGTCCCTAAAACCCGACAAGACGCGTCGCAAAGAACTAAGGCAAACACCGGCGAACAATACTCGTTGGGATTGGTCGGAGCCCCCGAGGAACGCCGTACGTATACCTTACTTTAATGAGAAGAGCAAAGCGAACAATAAGTCCGCACAGTACCAACAATATCGATGCGTGCAACATCCACGCAGCCTTAAATCCCCGAGGTCCGCGACAAGAAGGTCTCGGAAACACCGCTAACGTCGAGCGTAGCGTTTCGTTCAGCGAGACGTCCGGGGCGCCCGCAATATGCACGAGCGTCTTTGCATTTCTGTCCCCCATCAAAGTGGTGCCACAGTTTGGGGGGGTTCACAGCGAGAGTTAAGGGAACGAAAATGAACCTGCAACCTGGCGTCATTAGCATAACGGAGTTGAGAGCGAGGAGGAATCCTTGTGGAATTATCCTCTTCCTAGTGGACCGTACTGAGATCGAAATGAACCGAAAGTCATAAAAAAGAACTAAAATGAAAAAGAAGAGAGTGAGAGCGTCACTGTCCTGCTTCGCTCTGTAATTCTCTCTCGAGTCTGCGCACTGCAGGTTTATCTTTCTCCCCCCCCCCCCCCCCCCCCCCCGTCCATTTCCAAGATTCGTTCCTAGTTAGCGCGACTGCTTCTCGATCAGAGCGAGCCTTTCGGTGACGATGGCTTTTCCTGCATACACTCTGGGGAGCAGTGAAACCCTTCTTGCAGGGGCAGTAAGACTGAAAGAACGTTGGCTTCTAACGCTCCTTTATACTTTTAACTTACTTTTTTTTTTCAAGAGTTCGAGCAACTACGCGACTGTGGATCGAAGTCGAGACCGTAAGACCGAATAGCGACTTAGAAAGACGACAGGGAACGGTAAGATGGCGGCCAGGCTGGGCGTAGACGTCTCGTCTAGTTGCGCAAGCTCTGGTGAGCTACGCTTAAGGCAGATAAACGTCGGCCGTTAACTTTGAGAGCAAAAAAAAAAAAAAACGTCGATGAGGATGAGAATCTGAGACTATATAGGAAAAGAAATAATGTGTTAAACAGGAAAGCATCAAAGCATTCACGACAACCCACGAAAACCGCCGTGCAGGGAATTAAACTAATGAAAGCGCGGATTGTGTTAGGTTGTGCTAGGCCCAAAGGATCTGACTATTAAAAAAAGTTTGAAGTTTGAAAATAGTTACTAAAGTATACTTGCTCGTCATTCACAGGTGATCAATGAATGAATGAACAGAATAATTTCGGATCATAGATGGAGAACGGCAGGTGTATACAGAAATGGTAGACACGGAACGGTCACCAAGTGTTCCGGGAAATGAATCAGATTCTGCTTCAAAAAGAAGAATGTTTGGTGCAGATGTTCGTGACATTACGCTGTGACTGAGGCCGTGTGTTCTTTTCAAGTGATGTCGCAGATCACACTTGCCGCAAAGTTTTGTCTGCTTGGAAATTGAACCCAGTTTCTGAAGATGTAGCCGGTCGATTTGTTCTTTAGTAAGACACTAGGACATGAGTGTCATAAAAGTTCTGTGTGAAACTAATGAGTAAGCGACTGTGTATGCGTGTTGCTCTTTAAAGGGAAAAAAATTAAGTGAAAGAGGAATGGCTAGTTTTTCCTTCAAGTTAACGATTATATAAGCTATTTTATTGCCGTTGCTTCCGTAATCCTCATCGTTTGGCAATACTTATACACGTACACTCTTATTGAATGCTAACCTTGAGTGAAAACACGAAATACCGACTTTAATTAAAACCTGACGGGAAAGAAACTGTAACCTGAAGTAGTTTCCGTTTCTGCGCGGCAGTTCCTTTTCAAGACGTTTCACTTCCCGCTGCAGGCGGTGCTCGTTAGTCGCTTGTGCAATGAACCTCCCCGATTCGACGACGTTCTTTGTGTTCGGCTGCCGGGGTTTAAAATTCTAGATGATATCGAATGTACCGCGGGCGCAATATCTCGCGTGAAGTAGCTTGTTCGACAGTCTTTCGAAAGAATACGTTGGCCTTGCCTTACCTCACGGTGCGGAAAACAGTTAATAGTTTCCTGCTTCGGCCAACGATTAACTAAACTAAGAATCAAAACGCTTTTCCGGTCGTTTTCAGTACGCACAAATATATCTAAAAAAAAACAGGAGATAATGAACGCCGGCGCTATCGCATTATTAGAAAGCAATATCGCGAAAATCACTAGCATAAAAAAACTTGCATATCAGACACACGTTCGGCCTAAATTGGAATACGCTTCATCTATCTGGCACCCCTCACAAGCATACCTCCCCTACGAATTATAATCCATCCATAATCGCGCTGCTCGTTTCATAACGTCAAACTACTCGCGTAAATTTAGCATCACTGAAATCAAACGCACACTTTTCCTTCCATGTCTCCAATCAAGTCGAATCATCTCGCGTCTCTGCTTGCTTCACTCTTTCTATTATCACCCACTTGCCAGGCACCCTCGACTTCAACCCCCGCCCCGAATCTTGCCGCGCCTCAACCACAGCAAACCAATCGCACACATTCAGTGCCACACATCATCGATGAAAGATTCCTTTTTTCCCTCATGCAATAACCCTGTAAAATACCCGACCCGACAGTATTGTTTCGTCCACCAACTGCACGACTTTTCGCGAAAAAAATAACAATGCATCTGATCTAAATAGAAATGAATTCCTAGTTGAACCGTGTTAGTAACTAACTTTTAGTGACCCATGCATTATGATGCTGATTAATTGTGTATATTGCTGTTTTATTTCCAGTCTACGGTAGTTGTTGTTTTTTCTGCTTGCTTATTTTCTTTCTTAGAGATGTTTCCCTCCCCTTTTTCGTCTTTTCTTCCTTTTTTGGCGTTTGTGTGCTTAATAGTCTCTCATATATTGTTTGCCCCCACCTTATGTAACGCCTCCGGGCTCTTAAGGCTTCAATAAATGAAATGAAATGAAAATACATCACAGCGAACAGCTTCGCAAGGTGGTGGATAGTGCGATCGTGTAAACTCATTGCTATACAATCAAAGCCTTCGAGATCGAGCATCCAAATTGCACGCGCTCCCTTATTTCAGAGGTCATACAAATGCGCAGCGTGCTGAGTAAGTCCTCGCGGCCTCACCTGTAAAAACTGCATTCTTTTCGTGTGCCAACTATAGAGGAAACCCAATTTAGCACCATGTGTTAGACTGGCTGCTGATGAACGTATGCTGTGCGCTCGCGCTATATAGCACGAGACTTCACCAAAGAGATTATCGCTTTCGTCGGATAGGCAGCTGTTGTGTACCGGTCTCCTATGCGCTTATAATAATCATGCCAGGCAGAGAGTATCGTAGTATGGAATTTCATGGTGTCAGCCCACTCGCATGACTGCGTGTGAACCGCCTGCTGCGAGAACCATAGGCTCGGTTTAAAAAAACAATGCGACGCTGCGATTCCAGCTCTAAAAATCTGCTCCGGCTTTCGAAACTGGACTAAGAGGCTAACAGATGATGCTCTTAGCAGCGCAACGGGTGGCCTCAAAACAAAACTGTCCGTTTCATAGCGCTTCTGAGCGGCTGACGTCAGCGCTGCTTGCTCCGGAGCCAAGTTGTTTTCGCGCTTGTACTAGTGAAACTTCCGCGCTGAGGCTGTAAGAAATATGATGATGTACCTTCCTGGACAGAGCAACCAAGCAACCAAAATAATGCGTACAGAGTCACTGCTCTTCTAAAAGCACAGAGTGATTATGCTTTAGTCCGGATGTTCGTTCCCTATTTTGCACAAACCTCTTTCGTAGGAAGAATGAGAGAGAGAGAGAGAGAAAAGAAAACGCGCAGTAGCAGGAGAAGTTTAGAAAAGGGAAAGGAAAGCAGCTCAGACGCCTTTTCGTC